TTTTTGTCTAACGTTAATACTTTTACAAGTATGATGTAGGTAATAACTAGCTTTTGCATCAGATAATGTGCTTCTTGAGTAGGCTGATTTAGTTGATATGACAACGAATCAATAATGGTTGAGAACTACATGTACCGGTAGCTTGAGTAACTCCAGCTCCAATGCTCATCAGTAATTCGACACAAAGCTGCAGCCAAAAGTACATTGTACTTGCAGAATCTTGATTGTAGGAGTCCCAAAAAATTGGGCCTCTCTGTAGGCCTATGTTATCCAAACCCACATTCCATTCAACACATGTACCGCATACCAGCAGTAGTCATTCACGAAGCTGATGATCAACTTCAAACAGAATAAAAGTGACTAATTTTTATTTTTTTCTATGATTTTGGTGGCTTCCTCAGAAAAATCGTCCAGTACTAGCACTGCTGTTGTGCATCTTGTATGAACTTGCGATGACGTTTTGTGAGGTCATGATTATAAAAAAAATATGCACGATGTATGTGGGTACCATACCGCTTTTAGGCGCACAAAAACAGTGATTTCAATTTTCGTCTGGTGCGATGTCGTGGAAAGGAAGACAACGACTGTTCTGCATGAAACTGACGCTGTCTTACTTTCCATGACATTGCACCAGACGAAATGGTTAATGGGATGAAATTGTAACTTTCAACATATATCAACCCTCATCCTGAGTGGTGCGCATATTGCTATATTCATATTTATGCTGACGTAATACTTTAAGGGCCAAAGCGAGGCTGGGGGCGCTATTCCAGTGTGTCAGCTTCCATATATGTTTCCAATGGATCCTAAAATTCAAAAGTAATGAATAGTCAAGACCAGTTATAATGTATTCACGGGCAAAAACACCCTTGGAAAATGACTACCATCCACCAAGTCGGCACGTTTCCTTCAATTGAGACTGCACACATGACAGGGAATGGGTGCAGTCTCAATCGAAGGAAACTTGGGTTATGTGGATTGTAGTTTAGGCAAATGCTGGTGAACCAACTGGCAACCCATATCCCACAATCATGACTGCCCGTGGCTGCACGCCACTGCACTGTCAGTGACTGCCGACTGGGTGGATGGAGGTCATTATCCAGGAGTGCTTATGACTGTAAATAATTTATAACCTACCTTGAACAGGGATCTTTCGTCTCGTCTGGTCTTGACTACTAATTACTTTCGACGTTTAGGATCCGTTGGAAATGTATGGAAGCTGATGAACTCAACTTATTAGCAGTACACATTGGAACAGTGCAGTGTTTGCTGACATCTTGAAAATACACCCACAGCCTGGCTTTGGCCCTTAAAAGGCGTATACTCACATTATATCAGAATATTCTACTAACTGTGTTACAAAGTGTTCATGCTTTATTTCTGACTGAGAAGGTGAACATATTGTTGGGTTTTTAATTGATTTTGATTGTAATTAACCCATTTTCTGTACTAATACATGTAAACTCAAAAATATTAAGCATTTTGGTTAAGTTACTCATCTGCTTGTAAAGTTAAACATCTGCTTGTATTTGTGACAATGATACCTCATTTGCAATAATCACTTGTTAATGGCTCTGCTCAGCAACACTTTCAATGTTGTGTGCATCTAGAATGTACACAATTGTTCGCATTGTCTATTCAGTATACCCAAGGGAGTGCTATGGCAGTCTTGTTTTCTTTTTGCTTGTGGTTATTTCACTGCTACTTATACTCAAATTGTAAATTTAATACATGCAACAAAAAAAAAAAAAAATGAAATTCTTTGTCACACTACCAAGTTGCTGAGCCCTCAAGCAAGTCATGGTACATAATGAAACACTGCAAAGGAGGCTGACATGCAGTAAGGCACATGAACATGAAGATGATGCACGGCTGTTTCATATGCGTAGCGCGTGTATTAATAAAGTATACGCTGCGCGTACGTTTGGAACATCTTCACTCCAGTAATTATTGTGACGTCACGCGAAAACATGGCGCTCTCCACGAGCGAGAGTGTCGTAGTTTTCGTGACAAAGAAACACAGATTTAAACACGTTATTCACTGTACATGTATTTGTTTATAAAGAAATAAGATATATATGTTTAATACCTTTGAGAAACCTTCAATAAAATCAAGGTCCCCGATTTAACATTTAAGTTTCAGTGTTTTTTGAGGTGCTAATATGTCGTACGTCTGCACGAAAAATGAACTGAAATTTTCTCCTACAACAAGAAGGATACAGTGGTTACAAAACAACTGATGAATGGCAACTGTAGTTAATTTTTTTTTACAATGAATTTTGAAATTCTTGTGTCTGGGACAGGTAGTTGAAAAAAAAAATACTTCAAGAAAAAAAAGCACAAAAGTGACGCGGCAATCGTCGAGATTTCGCGAAGTTTTCGTTGGTGCGCGTCAAGGCATAGTTTTAGTACACGTTTATAATGACGTGCGGGAACCAGCACATTAAGGTGCTCTATACAAACTTGTTTATTTACAACTTCACCGACTGTGTGATGTACATGAACAACGCAGTCTGAATTATGTTCAATTCAAAATTTATTTCAGTCCTTTATTGGATAAAATGAGTTTTAAATTCCATCAAACTTCATTATGGAACATTTGTAGAATTTGTACAAATAGAATTTATCCAGGAGTACAAAAAACGACACGAAAACCAGTACTTTGCAGCAATCTTACGAAGGAGATTTACAGCGTGTTTAGGGTGAGCACATGGGATGATACACCGGATCAGCACCCTCCAGCTCTCTGTGAGAAGTGCTCCAGACAAGTAAGACATTATACTGCAGGTACAAGAGATATTGATCCGGAAAAATTGGCCCTGCATCAGAAAATTCAGTTTGACTGGCCAAAGCACTCAAGGACAGGCTCTTGTTTTGTGTGTGATACAGTGAAACAGCAGGCCAAGGGGGGAGGTTCTCACAAGAGAAAATTATCTGTAACACAAAAACATGCGGTTTATCCAACTTGCTCCTTCGACACGACAGGCAGCAACATTTTTGAACATTTGGGAACGGCGTGTGCAGTTTCGGTGGATTTGGACATCATCAGTCACAAAGGGGAGGAAAGCATTTTCATCTGCTGTGTGTGCCAATGCATCTTAAGTAGACCTGCTGTGCAGACAACTTGCGAACACAACTTTTGTGCTGTATGTCTTACAGCTTGCTTCCAGCACTCACGAAGTGATAGCATAAAATGTCCAGTGTGCAGTTCAATAATAAGTTACAATGAAATCACCAAGAGTCCACGAGTGTTAACAGTTCAACTTGACAATTTAATAGTTGTTTGCTGTAAATGCAACAGGATAGGGAGATTGGAGCAGCAAGTTCAGCATTCGTGCTCCCCAATTTAACCCCTAACCCCTAAAGTAACAATTGTCAAGGCACAATATTCTCTACCCCCCAATGCCAAATCATCAGCTGTAAATGAGGTAACAAATGCGGCTCAAGTCCTAAAAGATCTTGCAGCATGCCATCAACCTGGAACACCTATACCACTTGAGGTAGAAGAGGTCGCAGACCGATGGACATGGTTTAAATTAAACCGCGATGGATGTATTTCTTCTCTCAAAACAGGAGGTCGGGTAAGCATAGACTTCTGAACTTTCATTTTTATTTGCCGGGGGTCCATATTAAAGTGAGTTTCGTCAAGTAAGATAACTAAAAAATACTTGGCCTATACATGTATATGCTAACACCAAATACACACTCAAAGAAATGACTTGAAGCCTTTTTTCATTATCATTTATAGGTCAGCACTAAAAACATCAACCTATTGTTTTTAATTCACTTTGTTAGGTGCACCATTTTCATTGCTTCAAGACAAACTGACTTATTATACTTAAATTTTCAGTAAGCTGACCAATTACTGGATTTTTAACAGCACAGTGTTTTGTGGTTCTTTTAAACCATTAAGCTACAGGAAATGTGCACTGCATACTAAGTATTCAAAGTTCGAAAACAGTGTGACATTTTTTCCCTCTTTTTTTTTAGCCAGCATATATCCAGCGGACTGTAAAGTCTTCCAAGCTCGATGGACCACCATGTAGTAAGAGGAACCGTAGCAACTCGCTGTCGAGTCCAACATCCACAGACACTCCTCTGACTGTAGAGAGATTCATGGCGATGATGCGGGACTGCCATTTGGCATGGGATCAACTCAGGAAACTTCGAAGGTACCTACATCATACACAACAAAATTATAAGAATCCTTGAGACTGAGAGCTTCATTTGCCTTGCACATTAATCTGATTTCAAATACTGAGTCTTTGACATCCCCTCCCAAAGAGAACCTACAACACTCGTGCATTTCATAAACACAATATAAACATTATGCACAAAGTTGCTTAAACTGTCAACGATCCTTTGTACCCACATGAACTATGAAGCAGTTTTTAACTACATAGTTTTTACTACTTTCTAATGTTGACAATTGACCATGTAAGTTAATTTAATAACTATCCAAGAATATTATAAAGATGAAAAAAAATATTAACAAAATGTATAAGAAGAATGCCAAATTTATCTATGCATTGCAAGTACAGTTGTGAATCTTTCTTTTTGCCATACTGACTGACAACACACTATACACCCTGACTCCACAGCTTTTATTACCATGTTCCTTACCACATATCCTGGTACGGTACATGGACATGTACTTTGCATGTTTAACCACATGGCCTCTTCTTGCACAGTCCCTTCATAAAGAAATGTTATGAAATGTAATATTGGTTCAAAAATCTTAAATCCTTTTAGGTTGCACATTTCACTTGGCGTCTTCAAGAAGCTGTACGATCTTTTTGAGAGAGACTGCCATGGTCTTGATCTGGAATTGTTCCATCTTCGTGTCAAGGCTCAGGACAACTCGGATTTGACCAACTTTGATGACCAAGTTGCCAATGAAAATAGAGAGGCTCAGTAAAATCCAAGAGCAACTTGATGACAAGAGGTCTGCGCTTGAAAGTGCTAAAGAAGATTTTCCACTCTACGTCCTGCAAAATGAGATGGAAGAGATAGATGACAGGTTCCGTGATGCTGCCTCTCTAGCCTTCAAGCTCCGGAATGACATTCAGAATTTGGTATAGTTTAAATAACTTGTTTTCCTCGATGTTTTTTGGCAAAACGGCTGCTAAACAAAGAAAAGGGAACACTTTAAGAAGCAGGCTACATACATGTACCACATTACTGATTACTGAATAGAAACGTCAACACACAGGCTACACTTGTACATCATTTACTCTTTCAAGCTGCCAAGAATGTTGCCATGTCCAAGGGCATTAGAGCATGGTTTCATTCATTTTGGCAGCAGGGAGGCCATTCCAGATGTAAAGAATCACAATTGCACCTGTATGAAAGCCATTACAATGCTACAATTAGACGAACAAAATTATGCTGTAAATCATTCTTACATTTGTGTCACATAGGAAAAGGAGGCTGAAACATCACAGCTCTCATATGCAACTGGGCCTGTGGCTAGCTCTTTTGATAAGGTGCTCCACACGTTCAAGGTTCAGCGACAGGCATACCACAGAAAGGCCTTTGTGGGTAACCACGTCCACAAGTGCTGTGAGGTAAGAAAAAAAAACGAATTTACACATACTTGTATTGTAACAACATTGTTTAACTTATATGCAAATTGTGTTGGACTTGAAAAAAAAATTGGAACATTTGAAATGTACTTTTCTTCAATTTTTCTTAAGCCTAAAGTGATAGAGGCCCTCACAAAAACTCCATCCAAAGTCATCGAGAAGCACCTGACAGACAACATGCCTTTAGCAGCACTAGATAGACTAAGGAGGAAAGCTGCAACCATCCAGGAAAAGTTTGAGGATATTTTCCTCAAATTTGCAGATGTGCACAAAGGCATCAACCACCCCTTGCTGTCACTGACAGTGACATCCATTGTATTGGTAAATGCATTTTACAGTTTATACACACATTCAGTAAATGATTTTTTAAAGCTATGATGAGCACAAATATTATACCCACTCACTCTCATCAACAAAATTCAATTCATTCCTTCATTTTGCAGAAGTGACCATTCAGGAGCTCTTAAGCAGCTATCGGGGACTCTTCCCGAGTCAAAATGTCACACCAAAGCTCCATCTGCTGGAGGATCATGCGGTTGATCAACTGCGCCACTTCAGAGCTGGTTTTGGGCTGCTTAATGAGCAAGGTGGCGAGCTCATCCACTGTGACTTCAACAGAACTGGCCGAGTAGTACATGGCATGAAAGATGATTTTGGGAGGTTGATGGCCATCATGAGACGTCATCACATCAGTACGACACCTGAGGTTTCCAACAGTAAAATCGGAATAAACGAGCAGTAAATTCCTCAAATATACAAATAGTAATACAAAATATATGCATCTTTCAGCTGCATAGTGCACACAAATTTGACAAAACAAGGCCCCTGTGCATACATGTAAAACTGTGCATTCTAATGTAATGTAGTTACACCATGCTTTTTACATGCAAAAGTAATTTAATTATGGCTGGCTACAATTCGCACCTGAATTGGCCCATGATATTCCTGTAGATGAATTTTTGTACTTGATATTTGTTGATTATACTCAGACTCACAAGGAAACACAACCTGACACCAGATTTTATGTGAATGTTGGCCACAGCCAAAGAACGTTTTTATTCATTTTTGCCGGATACCGAATTGTTTTCTTGGCATACCGGTCTCACATTGTCATAAAAATTAAGTGGGCGCACCTGGCCCCAAACATGTATACAAAATGGGCGCACCTGGCCCAATATACCAAATGGGCGCACCTGGCCCAATATACAAAATGGGCGCACCTGGCCCAATATACAAAATGGGCGCACCTGGCCAGAAACAAAGTGGGCGCACCTGCCCCCCCTACAATAATACGAAATCATTAACATCATTATGTTAATTTTACAAGTAATTTCTGAGTGCAGATGTGGTCCCACTGATGTTGTACATTCAGTCAGGAGCAGCATAGTCTTTTGAAACGTTCTAGCACTATGTCTTCTTCACTTAACATTTATGATCATTATTCAGAACAAATACCAATTTGTGTCTAGCTCCATGTCAGTTATTTTATTTTGAATTTTTAAAATGGGGGGTTACTGGCTGTCTGCACCTCAAAAAAAATGCCACGCGCACAGCAGCGCGCGCCCACCAAGGAAAGGCAGACAGTAAGCCCTATGACCACACAAATAACACGTCAACACTAGAATTCAAAGTACTGTGCTTTCATAACACCAAATTAAAAAGTGGGAGACCTATAAAGGTTCCTACATATGTGCCAAAATGCAATGGTGGAGATTGGAGCTAAAAATTTGCGACCCAAGAGACGACAAATGCACTCCATCATAGCGAAAGAAAGACAGCTCTGACCACACTATCTGAGGGTGATGCAAGCAAAATGCGCGTGACAGGGAAGCGCATTGAGATTTTGCCCAGCGCACGGCTGTTTCGCCCGTTAATAAAGTGCGCCCTCTGTCGTTCAAACTCTCCGGCCGTGTGTTGACGTCATTATGTTTATGCATGACGCTTCGTTTACGCGCTGACCGTTGACGAAAGTGCGCAGCCTTTCAAAAACACCAGTATTATAGAATCCAACGGCACAACATTCATATTCATTGAGGTTATCATCATGAATAATAATTTTTCTGACCCCACAAGGATTTTTTTTTTAAGTGTGCGTACGCTGTTTACGCTGATTCAAGTGCGTAGTCACATGGTTTTGTTCGCGCCTTGTTACTAACGGTTCTCAAGAAACGGTCAGAAAGAACTCATATTTTTAAATGAAAACGGGCTAAGAAGTCCTTCCAGCCTTCGGTGTGAACATTTTAGATGTTGCTTTCTACAATAACACAAGTGGTAAGTGCAGGACATTTTATTTTGTTGCGGGATAATCGTTGTGAAGTTGGCCATGGAATTTCGTTGGTCGTTGCACGTTCGCCCCCTCCTAGGCGGGGAGACTGTTACGATACATTGGGGCGAAGTTGCAGTTTTGCAACCACGTGAATTAAATCCCAATCGCTGTGTAGGCCTATGTAGTATGTAGCATGGTCGGCAATAAGCCTATGTGTTGACATTCATTTTCGGTCGGGCATGCTTTCAGTCACCCTAATCACAGTTTATTAAACCTTCAACTCGGGATCCAAACATCATACATGTAAAATAAAAACATGAAAAATGAATAGCATATTTCCCTCCGTCAACATGGTCAAAGTTGCATCAAATTTATATTTACACGGCTTTTTAGGCCTACCTTACGGGCCTAGGCCTACAATACATTATAATACTTAATAGATTCCTTATAGGCCCTAATTACTAGTACGTGCATTTTGTTTCACATTGCAAATTACAGTGATTAACGTTGAGCTGCTTGAGATTTCCAGCGCACCGAGCTCGTGACATGCATGACATGGGAAGATGTTTATATCAAGCTAACATTTAGGGTTTGTTTGTAGCCTATACTTTCACATGGTCAATGGGAGAGCTACATGTTGTTTTGTAGGTCTACGTATTTTTTTTCTGGTCAGATTAATGTTAAAACTCAATGCAATGAAAGGCATGGTTTACGTTTAATTAACAATAACAGTTTACATGTACTGATGTAGGGCCTAATTTGTCAAAGACCAGCATAAAATATTGTTCAGGACACAGAAACCAAAAAATGATGTATCATGTGACAAAATGATGAAAACTACATTAAGTCATGAATGTCTTTCAAAGTCAAGTAATATGACAGTCATTCATTATTCCGCTATACATATACAACAGTGTAAAATATTCATCTATGCACGTGTACAGTCTTGGAATTTACACTGTATCAGCTCCGTGTTGAATCCACAAAGACTGCACTATCTGATTATCCATCAATCCATCATCCACAAGCAAATAGTAAATATGTATACATTTATAAAGCTATTAAATGGAATGTACATTGTATTCTTTTTTATTCAAGTTTGTTTGCGGTACATTATAACTTCTTATTGCTGAGGGACTACTGAGGGCCTCACCTGGGACTTCATCATCACACCTGGTAACAAATTCTGACTTCCCTTTCATTTTAGAAAAGACATTGTGCTGTACACTATTAATACTTAATACGTACACATGTATACACACTCAAAACACATGTGTGTGTGAAATATGTGTACTGCATGCTCATTTGCGATCAATTTAGTTTTCGTAAGTTATGACTTTGTTTCTGTTCCCTAAAATACAGATTGTAGAAACGTTACTATTTTTTTCTGGGCCAGGTCGACAAAAGTGTAACTTGCACTGATTTTTTTTTTTCATTCTTCCCCTTTTTTGGACTTCCGTTTGCAGGTCTTCAGGACGCTGGCCCGAATCTCCGGAGTGGTGCTGGTGTGATGTCGCTTCATTATAGAGAGCAGTTTCTGGAGATCGTCCCGGATGCCATGTACAATTCGTCCCGTTCTATTCAATTCTGTGTGTAGCAGCTCTCCTCCTTGCTCATTCAGCATCCCCAAGCCAACCCTGAACCTGGAGATTTGCGGCACAACATGGCACTCAAGTAGATGTAGTTTTGGCGTGACATTTTGGGATGGAAACATTTCGCGATAGGACCGCATGAATTCCTTGATACACACATCTGGAAAGGGAGAAGATAACTGAAATTAATTCAATTTTTATTCATCTACATGCATCTCAATGGTAGCCCAATGGTAGAAATGTGATCATACCCAGTCGACAAATGTCTCCAGTGGTCATCTGATTGGAATGGTTCATGCCTCGGTGAGCATCAGCAAACTTCAAGAACACTTCCTTAAAGTTGTGTCCTGTAGTTGCTGCTTGACGTCGCAGTCGTTCCTGTGCAGCCAGGGGGATGTCATCAGTGATGTGCTTCTCGACCTGCTGCTTTGGCATACTTGTCAACATTTCAATGACCTCGGGCTGAAATGATAAATGTGGTGGAAAATGTGGGCCACTGGCATAAAAATAGCACATCATGGACTATCATTGCTACAATGCTAAAGTTGAAAATATGGATATGTACCTTGCAACATCTGTGCACGTGATTGCCAACAAATGATTTGCCATGATAGGCCTGGCGCTGAACTTTGAATGTTGACAAAACCTTGTCCAGGGTGCTTGCAACAGGCCCCGAGGCGTACTCTAGCTCCGCCTTATCAGCGTCATGTTCCTGTGTGAAAGGAATACATGAAATCCATAAATGCACATGGAATGGTCTGAGTTCAGTGAAAAACAAATACATGTGTGAAAGTGCATTGCAAGTAATGATGTTCTGCATCTGCAGTGTAAAGATGTACACAGGGTACGCACCAACTCCTGGATTTCAGCACGGAGTGTAAAGGCATCATTTGCTAACTCTTGGAATTGCCCATCAATTTCAGTGTCATTGTTTTGAAGCACGTGCAGTGGGAGCTCCTCTTCCAGATCTTCAAGGGCTGCACGTTTATCAGCAAGCTGCTGTGCTCCATTTTCCAGCCGTTTGTTTTCTGCTGATATTTATGCTGCATAATTGGATAGCTCGGTGACCGGATCTTCCTCCATTTCATCATTTTCAGCCCTTAGTTTGAGGAGTTGAACATCAAGGTCATGACAGGCACTCTCAAAAAGATCAAAGATCTTTTTGAATACTCCAAGAGAGATGTGCAGGCTTGGAACGACTACCTGTACAATTGCAAAGATGACATCAAGTAATATAAATACTACATGTAGTAGGAAAACAGTGGGAAGTGTACATGTACTGATACGTTTGTGAGCAAGCTATTTCAATATGAGAGTTTAACTTACTTCACTGTCCCTCTGGCATTTAGAATTGAACTTACATGGTCTATTTCAATTTGCAACATTGGCTGGTTCACGACACTGAAAGACACGTCTTTAGATCTCTGTTTTCTGGCTCCATCCGCAGTGAATGCCTCGTGATGTTCATTGAGGAGTTGCAGTGTCCTTTGTTTGGAAGGGTCTCTCTCATGTTCCGGCTGCTGCATATCCTCTTACCTAGCCGTACAATATACACAGCAGTGTCTTGCTACATGTAAATTAAAAAAGGGGGTAATGATAAAGCAATGCTTGCAAACATACAAGTACATGTGTACCTGTTAAATACATGTACATATACATGTACATGTAATTAGTTTCGACTTACATGCTCAATGTGTACATGTACATGAATATACGTATGAATTGCATGTTATCATGCATGCATGTTAATACATGTATGTACACTGTACATGTACAGTTTTGTACTCGAGTTGAATGTTGTAGTTGTATGTCCTGTAAATTTGCATCTTAATATTTGTTCGAATTAAAGCCCTTACCATTGCAACCATTGATGCCGTATAGTTTTGTCAACAGCTCGTAGTCTCCATAGCAGAGCAAACGGATTGAGTGATTTCTGAAATGAAGAAATTAATGCAATTGTGGGTTGGTGGTTTAAAGAGTACAAAGATGTGCCTATATGCTAAATTATTATGAAGGCATATTTCCTAAATTTGTGTTCACCTACCGCCACTTTGTTGTTGACAGTGCTGCAACTTGGTCCAAAATGGGGGGAGGGTGTTCTGCAAGTTTGCAAGGGAGTCATTCCCTTCAAAGCAAGCAAAAACTACTGTGTTCTCCAGTGAGTTTTGGCTTTTCCACATTGACAATCTGGAACTCCATTTTGAAGGTGTCGCCACCCTTATCCCCGCCAATTTTTACCCACACCTCGTCATGTGGTATTAGGCCGTCGTGCCATGTAAGGAGGCCAGTGCTAGAAAGGAGAAAAATAAACCCACATTCAGATTCCATATTAACCAGGGCAGAATGCAGTCATTTCATGACTTTCACATGCATGGTCATTTAACCCTACCACAAAAAAATCACTTGGTTAAAATTAATGTGCTTCTTTTGAAACAACATAAAGTACTTATTTACCCAATAGTGTACATTGCACATCTGCACTGATTCATGTAATTTCTGTTGTTCCCATGAATTTTATTTGCAATGTCCTTAAGAACAGTTTAAGTTGTAGAGTTGCTAGACATTTAATTTTAATTACATGTTATTTACATGTTCAAGCGTTCAATATAATCAGTCACCATGACGCATAAGTCGTTGACATAAACAAAGGGAACAGTTTTTGTAGCAATCCCTTTAATGCCATCGGCTGTGGAGCTGTGATATAATACTTGTACCATCGTACCCCGCAGATTGTCCTTAAGGAGCGCGTCCCTCGTTTGTCGCATCTTGCGTTCGGAACTAATCTGAAAGGTATCAGGAAAGTATCTGCAGAAAAGGGTAAATTTATGAAATTTTGTTTAAATTTTATCAGTGTCAGAATTGTAAGTCCAGTATTGAAGGGGGAAAACGTAAAAGAAATTGAATACACGTATGTGTACATGTAGTTGTGTACGATGTGTAGTTGTGTACGTATTGCATTGAATAATTCATACCGTCTAAGCTTTCTTAGGTGCTCCCATGCTAGATGACAATCACGCATCATGGCCAGAGCTGTGTTTGCTGATATGGGCTTGTGCTTGCAATACTTAGCAAGCTCAGCTTTGTCGTTGGCAGGCAGTGCTCGAACCTCATCAGCATGCTGCACAGCAGTTGACCCCTTGCTAATACTTTGCCTGAATGCTGCAATTGATGCTGTGCGTTGTCTCTTGTATGACCGCGTTACTTCATCACTGGACTTTGATGGTTTTGTCACTCGTTGTATGTAAGCCGGCTGAAGTAGGGTGAATGCATCATTTGTTTTGTAATTTAACATCAAAATCATCATGTCTTTCAAAAACTAAATTGATTTATTTCTATAAACAGCTGTTTTTAAGTCTTATACACATATTAATATATTTATAAATTAAAACCTCTATTTTTTTTTAAAGTGCCCTGAAAGCCTCTTAATTTTATGAGATGCGTATACATAATATTTATTGATATAATTAAAGCAAGGTTTGTAAAGTCTGGAAGTATTATACATCTACATAATAAATGCAATAATGGACAGTATGAGATAATAATTTGACATGTGAAACGTGCAATGTAGTATTTGTATATGAATGTTTAAACAGGTTTTCCTAAACAAAGTACACTATAATGTGGATGTCTAAAGGTTGAAAACATTATCCTTACCCGGCCACCAGTTTGAATTTTTGCTGTGCCATCTGCGTCAGATTGTAGTTTCAACCACACCCATTTGTCTGTAGCCGCTTCTATTTCTGACGGTATGGGCTTCCCAACGACATGGGTTTTCGCCAACGTTTTCAACAAGTGTGCAGCACTCTTGGGGGTTCAGGGGATCATGATCAGGGGGTTCTGGGGAAGTTGTGTGGCTTGTTGAACATTGTGATGTACTTGTAGACACCTGTGCAGCATGATTATTACCCACTCGTGTGCATGTTGAACATGTGTGTTTAAGCACATTGTTCTGGCAAGTCATACACACCACATTCAGATTGTTCAGTTGGACTGTGAGTACTCTGGGGCTCAGTGTGATGCTGTGAAAATTTGCTTCGTATGCACAGTTAGGACAATTGATTGTCATAGACTTAGCATGCTTGAAACAAAGTGACAAACACTTGGCGCAAAAGTTATGCTGACATGGCGTCTGGACCGAAGGTCTCCCTAGAATACAGAGACATACACCGCATGTGAAGAGACCTTCCTCCCATTGGTGGCCGATAATTTCAAAACTGCCGGGTATTTCAGTCTCAAAAGAGTCATCAGTACTGTACAAGTGCTGAAAAATATCCAAAGCCGTTGTTGATGAAAACGGCAAAGTAGATGTTGACAAGGCACATTTCCTGCCAGATTTGGGTTTCGGTCTCGGTCCTCCTTTTGATTGTTCAAGAACCAAATTACAAACAAAACACACTCCAGTTCTTGAATGTTTCGGCCAATCTTTTTGTATATTTTGCGTCGTTCCTAGCGTGTGTTCGTCGTAGGTCCGTGTTCCAGCCCGGTAATGTCTCAGTTTTCTGCAACACTTTTCACACACTGTTGATGGGTGTTGGTCTGGAGAATCATTCCATGTACTAAGTCCATAAATGCTGCTAATTTCTTTGCTGTAGTCACTTACATTCTGAGCCTGGTTTCTTGTTTGCTTCAAACTTACTTTTTATACGATTGGAACAGATTCTGCAGATTTTCCCCAAAGCATCCGTATGAAATTTAAAACTCATTATTAAAAGAAAAATTAAACAGAAAAATCCCGATGGTAATCCGTGCATACACTTACGTGTACGCATACATGTACACTGTACATGTATATTAACATCCCTTGTACAAAAGTAAACAATTCATATCGCGCGCGCCAGATACGGCTGGTTCCCGCGTGCAACGCACGTATTATTAACGGAGAGAATGAAACCAGCGTTGTCACTCATTCTGTTACGCGCAGGAAACCACAAATTGTTTGCGTACATTGCGAAGTTTTCAGGGGACTCGTAGGGTTGAAAGATGAAATGTCCTGCACCCAAAGACCATAAAGTTGATTAAGAAAATTCATAAATTATCGAAACCCCACCATGAAATATGGCTGTTAGCCCGTTTTGTTTTTCAAGACCTTCTTTTTTTCACCCTTCCGACTTGTGAGGGATGTCGGACGTACTTGTAAGTTACGATGCACTTGTAAGTTTAACGGTGTGCGGCAACAGCGCCACCTTGCGTCGGCCTTGGCATTCCTCACGTTGCCATCGCCTCCGCTGTTGGCCTGTCCGCTGCACACCAACTTCAGGTAAATTTCTCTATTTTGTTAACTGTAAATTCCATTTAATTTAGATAATCATACTTTTGGTGGAATATAGCAATTGTGGGACAACTTTGGTAACGTTTAAAGGGATATTTAAATGGGTAATTTAGGTCAAACTTTTCTGTAACTTTTCGATCGATGAACAAATGGAAGCCCTCTTGCGGTACGTTCAGAATAGTTCGTATACATGTACATGTATCTCATGCCCAAAATTGACGATGCCATGACTGAAAACTATTGTTGTTATTCTTGTATTAAAGTTGTTGAAATCATATGGATCTTCAGTGAAGTTAGTACTAAGGTTTATTCATTTTGACTTGACACATATAAACAAGCTTTTCTGTTCTTTTAGTCACATGAAATTGTACATGTAAATGCACATGTAGGAAGATTTATCACATGTAAACAAACATGTACTTGGGGAATTTATAACATGAGTGCCCTACTTATAAATATGATTGGAACTTGGATTTGTGTAGAATATGTGGACTTTAATTAAGCTGGATTTTATCTCTAAGGTAACACAGTAATTAGAGAGTAATCCGAGAGTACTTGTGAAATATTGATTCACAGTCTTTATTTCAATTTACATGTTAATTAATGACTCAAGTGACAACCAGAGTCAACTCTTAGTCATTGCAGTCAGTAAAGTAAGTCCATATACGGTAACTAAATTAGGCTTTCATTAAATTCCAGTAGGAAAACTGACCAGGGTAATTAATTTCCTGACGGTTCCTAAATTTAATCTGTCGTTATCTTGCATCAAAGTTCTGGTCTGATGATTTTCAAACTATACATGTATACATTTTGTCTTAAGTTAACATTCAGGGAATACTTGATTTATTTTGTTTTCTCTTTCTTTTTATTTTGATTCCTCACGTTGCCATCGCCTCCGCTGTTGGCCTGTCCGCTGCACACCAACTTCAGGCCTGTCCGCTGCACACCAACTTCAGTGGCTGAAATAAAACATCACATATAGAGATCCGAATCCTGGGTGTTTGCTGTGTTCTTTACCAAATCACCACAGCTGACCAAACAGCCCCCCCCCCACAAGTGTCAGAAGTGGGATCTCTTTTTTCAGCCAGTCTGCCAGCAGCGGGGGATTGAGGATCCGTCACTGAATTCAGAGTCGTCGAGATGGCAACCCACGTCAGCGTACGGTCACTAACAGAAGAAAAGGCGAGGAAATTTTGCCTGGTTGAAGGGCGTCTGCCTCTCCAAAGCCTGAAAGGGTGTTACCCTGATGCAACCGGGCTGATTCACAAAATTGACCAGGACAATGAACTGATTCTGCCAATTGTGAATGGGGCCATTCTCCCGCCAGAGGGGGGATGGGAAGTAGTAGAGTACACACCGCTTACCAGAGCCGAGATCAAAACAGAACCGCCCCATACCGAGTCCCCATCAGAGGAGCTCCTGCGTGCGCTCGTAGCCAAACCATCCCAAGTCGTGATGGCACCCGAGCGCAAACTACCGGTATTCGAGGGACGAGATGATGAAAAGTCGGTGCCCGTTGATGACTTTGTGACAGCAATGAACCACGCTTATGAGAGATACCACATCCCGGAAGACCAGCGGGGCCAATTTCTACTGGATTCACTCCGGGGTGGTCCGAAAGTTGAAGTGCGGTCACTGTTGTCATCCGGTAAAACCACAAAGGAGGCCTTGAAGTACCTAACGACGTCATATGGGGAGACCCTAACAAGTGGAGAGTTGCAGCGGCGGTGTTTGGAACGACGACAGCAGCGTGGTGAGTCCATTCGTCAGTTTGGCGTGGAGCTACAACGACTGTTCCAACGACTATTTAAGCGAGACCCCGGACTATACAAAGATCCAGACACCATCATCCGAGAGCAGTTCGTAGACGGCATCGAGCAAGAGGGGCTGAGGCACTCCTGCAGAGACTTTGTCGATCGCAATCCATCTATCTCCTTCGGAGAAGTGAAGGACTGGGCCATAAAGCGGGAGGAACGAGAACGGGCCCGAGCGCAGACTACAGCCTTTCAAAGTACCTCATCGGCTATGGAGGCTGGGATGAAACCTGACGCAATCCAGCGACTGGAGAAACAGATGCAAGAAATCATGGTATCTGTGAAATCCCTCGCCGAGAGGATTCCACCTGCTGAAAGACTGCCTACTCCGATTTCCCCCCAAGCCCTTTTGGCACAGCCTGGGGGCCGACCTCCCAGACCTTGGTGGCACCAGACAGACTACCCCAACTTCCCAAAGCCGAGAGCCGTTGACAACCCGTATACTGCACCAGTTCAGTCCACTCCAAGATGCTTCAGGTGTGGCCAACCCGGACATTTTGCGAGGAATTGCCTCAACTCTGCTCGGCCGCGCCCAAACCCCCCACCCCCTTCACCATTAGGAGCCATGGGTCCTTCGGGAAACTAGTACATCCTACTGTTGGGAGCCAAACAGTGGGGAATGGAATAACTGGCTCAACTCATCATGACTTACCTGGTTTTCAAGCACGTGCTGCCTCAGATTGTTATGCAGTTGATGTGAAGTTTGGAAACCAGACTGTTTCTTGCTTATTGGACACAGGATCCATGGTCACTACCATCACCAAGGGCTACTTTGACAGCGTCCTGGCACCAGAGGGTGTGAAACTTGAGAGTATTCCAGAGAAATTCAGACTCATCTCAGCTAATGGCGCAAACATCCCCTATGTAGGATGTTTTGAGACTGATGTGCATTTGCTGGGAGTGACTGTTCCATCCCGACTCGTTTTAGTCATACAAGAGGCAGGGTCTAATGCTAGTCCCTCTAATGCCCCAGGCATTGTGTGGATGAACATTTTGTCTGACTGTTGGTCTAAACTAATTGACAGTCATGGACAGGGATACCTCCGCAAACTTCAAGTGGACGGCGTTGAACCAGTGTGGGAGAAGACGCTGCAGGCCATTAGGAAGCGTCAAGCTTTTAACGAGGTCCAAGCTGCCATTGGGAAGGTGCACTTGAAAAGAGGACCCCCTCTGCTAGTCCCTGCCCAGCACGCTGTTGTTGCAGAGGCGTCTGCACGGAGAGCACCAGGAGATGTTGAGTACAAAGCAGTTCTCGAACCGTTTGAAGGTACCAACCTCCCGCGGGGTGTTCAGGTGGTGAGAGGATTGGTGACTGTTTCCTTGGGAAAACTGGCTGTGGTGCTGATGAATGACAGTGAGCAGGATGTTCTTCTGCCAGAACGCAGTTGTTTGGGTACCCTTTATCATGGAGACGTTGTAGAGGAGGTCCCGATGAACAAATCTGGAGAGACCCCAATGAGTCCCGTCTGCCACGATGTCACCCCAGCATGTGGGCAATCCAACTCAGACCCGCCAACAACTGAAGTAAAGATTGATGCAAAATTGACGGGGCAGCAACTCAACAAATTTCGTACCCTTCTGTATAGATTTGATGATGTGTTCGCCAGAGGGGAGGGAGACTTAGGGTACACAGATGCTGTTCGACACCGAATAGAGACAGGGGATGCTCCCCCGATCCATCAACGCTACCGATCACTTCCTCCTTCCCAATATCAAGAAGTACGGGCTCATATACAGAAATTGATGGAGGCTGGCATTGTTCGTGAGAGTTCCAGTCCTTGGTCCGCTCCAATAGTGGTTGTGCGGAAGAAGGATCAGTCAATAAGACTCTGCGTCGACTATCGTCAGTTGAATACTGTCACCGTGAAGAACTCCTTCCCTCTCCCGAGGATTGATGAGACCCTGCAGACGCTGGGCGGGGCTAAATTCCTGAGTGTGCTCGATCTTGCTTCAGGTTACCATCAGGTGGCAATGGAGGAGCGAGACATTGAAAAGACGGCCTTCACAACCCCCTTTGGCTTGTTCGAGTACACAAGAATGCCTTTTGGTCTTTGCAACAGTCCTGCAACGTTCCAACGGCTGATGCAGAGATGTCTGGGAGACCAAGCATTGGAGTCTGTTCTCATCTACCTAGACGATATAATAGTGTTCTCGACTACTTTCGAAGAGCATATCATACACCTGGAGACAGTATTCGCCAGGCTGCGCCACTATGGGTTGAAAGTCAAACCCCAGAAGTGCAGTTTTTTCAAGAAGGAGGTCAAATATCTCGGGCACCTGGTCGTGGCAGATGAAGGTATTAGGCCGGATCCTGATAAGGTCTCCGTCGTACAGAACTGGCCAGAGCCGACAACTGTGACTGAGCTCAGAAGCTTTCTGGGGTTCACCGGGTACTTTCGTAAGTTCATCCAGGGCTATTCCAGTATAGCGGCACCCTTACTGTCTCACCTTAGGGGTTTGAACACCAGGGAGAAGAATCGGGCTGGTTGCAAAAAATTGAATCTTGGCGATGAAGCGTCGAAGGCCTTTTCATCCCTAAAGTCATCACTCCTTCAAGCACCCATACTTACCTTTGCAGACTTCAGTCGTCCCTTCATCGTTGAAACAGATGCTAGCTCACTAGGTCTGGGGGCAATACTTTCACAGCAGCAGGATGATGGGTCTAGACGAGTCATTGCCTACGCTTCTAGATCACTCCGGCCAGCCGAAAGGAATGACAAAAACTACTCTGCCTTCAAGTTGGAACTGCTTGGTGTCCGGTGGGCAGTGTGCCAAGCTTTCAGAGACTACCTTATGGGGAACAAAAGCACTGTCTATACTGATCACAACCCTCTGAAGTTCTTGGACTCTGCTAATCTTAGCTGTACCGAGCTCCGATGGGTGCAACAGCTAGCAGCTTTTGACTTCCAGTTAGAGTATCGACCAGGCAAGAAGAACCAAGCCCCAGATGCCCTGTCTAGGTTGAAACGGAGTTCTTCAGAAGTTCCAGATGGCCAGGTCACTGAGCTATCATCACAAGCCATACGAGCCTACTCAGGTGGTGATGTCGGGGCTGCGACAGAGATGCCCCCAAATCTAGCGCACCAAATTCGAGTTACCAGTGAAGAAGGAAGTCAGTGTCTTCCTGGATACAAACCAGGAGACATCCGGAAGCTTCAGGAAGAAGATGTCCTTCTCCGGCGCATTCTGTTGTATGTGGAAAGAGGGAGGAGACCCTCCCGGGCTGAGAGAGAGGAAGACCCAAGGGATGTGATGTTGCTTCTGAAGCACTGGGGTCAACTCCACTTGAAGCAGGGTGTCCTCTTCCGTCGTGGAGTACGTCCTGAGGGAGGAAGTGTCGAGAGGCTTGTCACCCCAGCTGCTCTGATAGACACAGTGCTGAGATCTTTCCATGATGACTGCGGGCATTTTGGAGCGAGAAGGACACTGCGTCTGGTTCAGCCGTTGTTCTTTTGGCTGCGAATGGAGGTCTCAGTACGCACCTGGTGCCAGCAGTGTGAACGATGTGCGGTTGGGAAGAAACCTGTCAGGCAAACCCGTCCACCATTAGGGACCCTCCGAGCTACGGCACCCTTGGAAGTCGTGGCGATGGACTTCACTGTGTTGGAGGCATCCTCTGATGGCTATGAGAACGTCCTCGTCCTCACAGACATATTCACCAGGTTTGTTTGGGCTATACCTACCAAGGATCAGAAAGCACACACCGTGGCCAAGGCATTGATAAAATATGTCATCACACCCTTCGGAGCCCCTTTGAGATTACACTCCGATAATGGGCGGTGTTTTGAGGCACAAGTCATCACTGAACTTTGTCAACTGTATGGAATAGGTCGCTCCCACACTACCCCTTATCACCCCCAAGGGAACGGGATGTGTGAGCGATTTAATCGCACTCTCCACAACCTCCTTGTAACCTTGCCCTCCTCCAAAAAGTCAAGATGGACCGAACAACTTCCTCTGCTTGTTATGGCGTACAACAACAGCAAACATGCAACAACTGGCTATGAACCTTTCTTCCTCCTGTTTGGAAGGACGGCGCGGTTGCCCCAGCATCTTCTCTTGAGTGTTGATCATGACCAGATTGGTGGCGCGACTCAAGATGTCTACGTCAAAAAGCACCAGGAAGGGCTAGAGAGGGCCAGGCGGTTGGCAGTCAGCAACCAGGATAAAGGAGCAGAAGCCAGGCGTACATTGCATGACCAAGTTGTGTATGAGAGACCGATTAACACAGGGGAGTATGTCTTGGTACGAGATCGCTCGCATCGGGGACGGTCCAAAATCCAAGATTATTGGGAGCCAGAGCTATACATGGTCGTAGAGCGACCGTATGAGGGTCAGCCGGTGTACATTGTCCAGAACCCTCGTGGCCAGCGTAAGATTCTGCATCGTTGTGAAATCAAGCATTGTCCTTGGGATCTCCCCGAACCCAAGATGGTGGCGGTTGACGAGACTACTTCCCCCTCTACTTCAGACGAGACGTCCCCCTCTACTTCACCCACCAGTGATTCAGCTGAGTGGGGTAGGTTACTCACCTGGGTCCCCAGGGTGGACGACCAGAGCTCGCAGGAGAAAGCAAGGCAGCTCAGTACTGGGTGTGAAGCAGCCGCCCACCCCATTACTGAAGTGCCAGCGGTATCAGCCAGTGACTCCGAGCCACCCCAGACCAGACCAGAGAACCAGACAGCACCCACAGGAGGCAAGAGCTCTACCAGAGAACCAGTTGAAGATCCCGGCTCCACAAGTGGTGCCAGCTCCCTCGCGGGGAGGACAGATGAAGCTCACCTACTAGGGGTCTCTACTGAGGAACCCACCGAGCCAGATCACTCCACGGGAGGCGTCAGGCGCTCCAAGCGTTCGACCAAAGGCAAGCCACCTAATAGGTTCCAATTCTCAAATGTAGTCAGATTACTTAACCGAGTCAAGCATATGGTTGCTCCAGAGGACACAATAGACACTGATGAATCTGGGGACTAATTTTTGAGATGTTTTTCCATTTCAACCATGTTCTAGACAGTTGACACACAAAACTACTTGTATGTGCATCACACTTAGCAAGGGAACCCCCAGTGCCCTATTAGTCCTGGTAAGCCAATTCTTAGGCCTGTCAAATTTTGACATTTATTTGACTTCATTGTTTCATGTTTAACAAGAGTTCCACTTTATATAGGAAGTCAATCAAAAGCTGTTGTTTATGATGTTTTGATTGTTGATGATTGTTTGCATGCATTTAAATCATTGTTAAGTAGTTATATAGTTTCAGTCTTAGAAGGCCACATACTTGTCGTCGAGGGCGACGACCTCTTAGCAAGGGAAGATTGTGAGGGATGTCGGACGTACTTGTAAGTTACGATGCACTTGTAAGTTTAACGGTGTGCGGCAACAGCGCCACCTTGCGTCGGCCTTGGCATTCCTCACGTTGCCATCGCCTCCGCTGTTGGCCTGTCCGCTGCACACCAACTTCAGGTAAATTTCTCTATTTTGTTAACTGTAAATTCCATTTAATTTAGATAATCATACTTTTGGTGGAATATAGCAATTGTGGGACAACTTTGGTAACGTTTAAAGGGATATTTAAATGGGTAATTTAGGTCAAACTTTTCTGTAACTTTTCGATCGATGAACAAATGGAAGCCCTCTTGCGGTACGTTCAGAATAGTTCGTATACATGTACATGTATCTCATGCCCAAAATTGACGATGCCATGACTGAAAACTATTGTTGTTATTCTTGTATTAAAGTTGTTGAAATCATATGGATCTTCAGTGAAGTTAGTACTAAGGTTTATTCATTTTGACTTGACACATATAAACAAGCTTTTCTGTTCTTTTAGTCACATGAAATTGTACATGTAAATGCACATGTAGGAAGATTTATCACATGTAAACAAACATGTACTTGGGGAATTTATAACATGAGTGCCCTACTTATAAATATGATTGGAACTTGGATTTGTGTAGAATATGTGGACTTTAATT